CACCATTTTTTTTTTATTTTTATTCTCTCTCTCTCTCTGCGTTACTGTAGCGGCAAATCAAATGTTACAAATATGACATCAATTTTAATTCAAATAAACTCGCAGGTAAGAGCCTTTTCAGCGCAGCGCTAGATGAGGGAGGCGTTTTGCGCTGGAGTAGAGATGAAATCTGCTCCAATGCTGCGCCAGAATTTAACGTCAGATAAGAGGAATGAATAAAAATAATATATTTAAATAATTTTTTTATTTTGTTTATGCTCTAAACCATATATGGTCTAGACCATATATGGTTAAATTATGTTAAATAAAAATAAATAAAATATATTTTTATTATTTGAGTAATTAATATTTTTATATAAGATTAAATATACATATATACCAATTTATTTGAAATAAAAAATAAATAAAAAATAATATATTTAATGTAGAGTAAAATGTAGAGATAATGGCTGGAGATGAATGTTCAACTCTACTCTAGAGTAGAGTAAAGTCCGCGCTAGAGTAGAGATAAGGGCTGGAGATGGCCTAATATTAGTACGCAAAACCGAATATTAGTAACACAATTGATGGAGATAAATGATACTCCCTCCTATTCATTATAAATGTCGTTTTGACTTTTTTGATTCATCCATTTTTTATGTATCTAGACATATTAATGTATAGATACATAATAAAATAGATGAATCATAAAAGTCAAAACGACATTTATAATGAACATGAGGTAGTATTTAGGATATTTAATTTCATTATTTGTTTCTCTCTTTATTATTATGATTGTTAGTGACTACATCAAGTGATATTAGTAGTCTGAATAGTTCACGATTCCGCCGCGAATAAACGATGTTGCAGACGACATGCGTGATGCTGCCATCGACGCTCTGAGTCGTCAAGCCGGGGGGTTCAGTCGACAATTCGAGGCAATGGGTCGTGAAATGTCATACCTTTCTGCAGAATCGAGGACATACGTTTGGCTCTTCATACTATTGTTCAGAGCCACGACGGGGGGCGTGGTCGGGGCGCGCGGGGTCCCTTCCTCGCCTCACTCGTGGTTCAAAGATGGTGGTGATGAAGACATCGTCTCCGAGTTTACTCCATTCGGTCAGGCACGTGACGACGACTATTTAACCGACGATCGATGTTGGGAGTCATTAGTTCGTGTCGAGATTCTCGAATTTTTAAGGTCCTTTGCGGGCGCACAAGGGTCGACCGAATATAAGGCTCCGCCTCTTTTTGATGACGAGTGATCGATCGAATCTACGGGTCCATCTATTTTGTATGCCGAGGAGTTGATCGATTATGAGATTCCACCCGTTTTTGATGAGGAGCCACCTATGTCGTCGATGGAGGACGAGTACCATGTGGTTGTCGAATCATCTCTGAGACCAGAAGTTGTGACTGGAATGGATGTTGTCAATAAATTGGAAGATGGATTTTCAGCAAAGGTTGTGACTGGAATGGATGTTGTCAATAAATTGGAAGATGGATTTTCAACAAGCAGATGTGTCTGATATTTCGCATCGTGTGCTCAAAACGGACAAAGTGCAGCAGGCCATTTTACTTTGAGTCATTGAGTACGTGAGAATTTTTTGGAGCTTGGGGAGTAGCGGTCATAGATTTTCTGCTCGTGTGTATACCAACTTCATGACTCGTCAAATTGTGGAGCAGTTAAAGACGAGATTGTTTCAAATTTGAGAGCGAATACTTTTAGACAAGGAGAGAATGATGGAAAGTAAAGATCTTTAGAAAATCTAATTTATTTTCCCTCTTTATTATTATGATTGTTAGTCTCGCTACATCAAAAATCCAATAAAAAAATAACTTATTTAAAAAAAAAAAAAAAAAACTTATACATAGAAGATTTACCAATTTTATTGGATATCAAATTAATATTTGATTTTATCACCATCTACCAAATCACATGAGGAATTTTAAAATATCATCAAAGAAGCACATAGCACATGTTGCAGGCAATCCAGGTAAAAATTTCGAAAATTATAGGAGACTATTTTTCGAGTCACTAATTTATGTAACTTGAGAATGTCCATACACGGGGATGAAAACTTTCCGAATAATCAAAACAAAATGTTTGGTTAAAAAGATTAAAAAAAATTAATATTTTTAAATTAATCTTAATATGATATGAATGGAAACTACTTTTGTTGGTTAAGATGAGGCCCAACTCCATACACGAGGGTTATCTGAGGCCCAATGTCGTAAGGCGGGTTGGTTGAGGCCCAATGTAGTACTAATCAACAATGATATCTGGTTTGAACAAATTTTTAAGCTGGCAATCAACTGTCCACTCAGAAAAGGGACTGGGCACGTGGCTTTTGTGCTGTACACTAAACACCAGCTTCCATTCATCCTGCACATCATGAGACTATTTAATGAAGATGATACAACATTAAATGAATTTATTTTTATTTTAATTTTTTTTTTTTTGGTATAGGGACTTTCCGGTTTCCGGATCCACAGGAGAACCGACTAATTCGGAATCGAGCCGGGTAGGACCACAAGTGCGGCAAAGCTCTCCCTCAAGAGTTTTTAACACTGCTGCATTCCCAGGACTCGAACACGAGACAACTGGTTAAGCTGGAAGAGACCCAAGCCATCTTTTTTGATTGAATTCTGAAATAAGTGTCTCGACACAAAAAAGTTACTCAACTAAAGAATAATTATTAAACGAAACGTGTCGCTCGTTAGCTCGACTCGTCTCGTGCCCGTTTAGTTCAAAAGCCAAGCCGGGCCCAGCTATACTAAGGCTCAAAATATATATTTTACACAATTTTCTAAAATTTGTACTCGGCTCAACTCGTTAAATTATGAGATCGGCTCGATAATATTAATCAAACGAGACTAGCTGAAGCCAATTTAGTTAACAAGTCTGAGCTCAAGTATGAAAAGTTCGACTCGGCTCGTTCACGTATATGACATTGAGTTTTGTATAAGTATCCACCTTTCTTAAGCAACAATATATACCTTCATTGTGGACAAAGTTTGTGTGCATTTGAGCTCACCAAAGACCACAAACAACAGTTAATTGTTAACACTAAACTCCATTTTTTTTTTAATAATCACCTGACTCCCCCTCATTTGACAAATGATTTTCCAACAAACAATAGATCGTGTAAATGAAAGTAACATAAGGACGAATAACAAAGTGACACGTGGCGATTTTTTCTTGGAGTCCTTTTACTTTCCAAGAAAGGAAGCAAACAGAGATCTCTATTTTTTATTTTTTTACACATAACATTTGTGAAAAATACTTGAAAATGCTTCACAAATTGAACAGGCATTTCCACGAATTTAAAAAAATATATATAAATTCTTAAAAAAAAATAAATAATTATTTTATAATTTTGTCAAAATGCCTATTTAATTTGTAAACATGCTTGAGCCTGAACCGACCTCAATAAGACCAAGGGCTGGTTCTCGAGCTGCAGTCAACGGGTTTGACCAAGTTGGTTCCTGGTCCGCGATCAACGGGTTTGATAGGACCAGTTTTGGGCCAGTCCGAGCCGAATCGATAGGCCCATTAGCCCGTGGTTATGTCTAAATGAATAACCAAACCTAGATTTCTCTGTGTGAGCCGGGCTAAAAAAATGCATAGTACGGTATAAAATTATGTACTTTTATTTATGTTGTTCATTAATATATAACATTTTTAACTTGAAAATATGTAAGATATGTTGAAAAAATATAATTTCATAAAAGGGTGGTTAATAAAAAATCAGCCTTACCAAATGTAAAATTATCCTATGATTGGATATAAAATTTTGGGGTAATATTTTTTTTTCTTCTTTTTTTTGTTCTTTTTTTGTTGAAGTGAGTTAAGATTGAAAAAGATAGACCATTTCCACATATGTATTTCATTTTGAGATTATTAATGAGTATGAATTAAATTAAAGTTAATGTGATTTAATACAAATTATTTTGACTGTGGATATATATATTTTTTTGTCAGAACTACAATCAGATACAATTTTTTAACTCATAACTCAATTTAACTCTCTTTAATATCATCAATATAATTGAATTATATCTACCAATACTACTATACAATTTCCCATAAAATAGTAGTTCTTTATCACCTCTAGTATTTTTAACTATCAAACTTGACACTATTCATTTTTTTTTTTTTTT